TTTGAGCATCCCATATTCGTATCATTTCCCTAATCTTTAAAAAGATTCATCCTTGAATCTTACCTTACAAGTAACAAATAATGATATCGGTTCTAAAAAAATTAAAGTAACCATCATTTAGGTGGCTAACAATCCAATTGGCATATTCAATTATTTTGTATCCAATGTCATCAAAGCTAAGCTTCAATGAACTAGACCTTCTACTATAAGAATTGTCAACACCAAGAAAATTAACCGTAAGAACATCACCACTCTCATCCGACACTTTTATGGCAGGTAACATCACACTTGATTATTCCTTCATCGATAGCTTCGTTAACTCTCTCATCTATCATGCTAACCGATGTGAACCCACTTGGCTCGATGGCTAGAGAACTCATGAACAAGAAGGAAGAAATCCTAGAAAGCCAAATTAGATTTAGAAATGAAGGATATGAGATGCCACACTCTAGAAAGATAGAAGGAGAGTGATAAGTCTATGTGAATGGCATAAGAATGGTAAATTCTTGATAAATTCGAAGCATGAACACCATAAGAATGATTAGTCCTTGATAAATTCGAAATGTTCTTGAAGAACTAAAGAGAATAAATCTCACAATAATAATTTGATTGATAAAAGGTTGATTCTTCTAAATACAAAATAACCTTATTTATAGGCTAAAATGATAATTTAAGAAACTTAATAGACTAGAATGCCTAGAATTCTATAAAATTAAATATGGCATAGGATCTAACAAATTGGAATAAATATAGCCTAGAATTCACAAAACATAAATATGTAATTAAATCTAGCCTAAAAGACTTAAATTATAAATATGGACCAAACTTTGTCAAGATCTTCATAAATTCGGCCTAAATGACTTTAGCACTCAACCACGATACAACAACACTAGCGACCATCCACAACCCAAAAACCCAATCCTTGCACCAAATAACAATATCATGTTCTTAGTTCAAAATGAAACAGCGAGATCTCCTTATTGATGATAATATTGAGGTTTGAGTAGCCCATGTTCACATCAACCCATCAAATCCTCACCATTCATTGTCTTTGTACTAAGGCCAACTCCCATTTTGTTTTCTATTGTTTTCTAGGGCCATCTAACGTTTTCTTTCTATTTTTTTTTATTTAGTGACTTTGAAGGTGAAACATGGTGGAGAGGATAAGAGGTTGGTGTTGTGCATTTTTTTGGTTTGTCTAGGTGTTAAGGGGATGAGACCAATACAAGGCCGGCTAGACGGGGACAAAAGAAAGTCGGACCAAAAGACAAAATGAGAGATGCCAAGAGAATCGAGTGCAAAATTGCTAAAAACGATAGTGAACAATACGTTCATTGTCTTCAAAACGACGCCGTTTCTATAGTTTCAAATTGGTCCTTCATTCTTTTAATTTTTTTTTTACAATTATGCCCTTACGTTCCTTGATTTTGGTTTCTTTTTTCTTTTTTTTGTTCAATTACACCCTCGGTTATATTTTCTTAGTAATTAATCCCTTTTTTTGTATTTTTATATTTATGGTAATGTAATAAAAAAAGGAATTAATCTAAAAATTTTTGTATTTCATTCTTCCTTTTTCTTTTTTTGGCTTTTTTCTTTTCATTTTTATTTTAGAATGATACATATAATTAAAAACCTAATAATGAAACAAAGCTAAATAGTAATAATAAATAAATACAATAAATACAAACTACATTATAAAAAAAAATATCATAAAATTATAAAATAATTAAAAAAGGTAAATTTGGGATTATGACAATACTTAGTATTAAAAACACTATGAAAAGATAACTTTGCCCCCTCATTATCCCAAACCCAATCAAATAAAAACAATCAAAAGTCTTTCTTTCTCTTTACTATCTCTTTCTCGTTTTCTTTTTCAATCAAAATGTGACGCCCTCGTCCCGATCCACTCTCTATTACCCAAATAGGGGTGGCTAGGCAAAGAGCGTGTTACGCCGACACGATCAATTTTCGAATTAACCTCAAACACGTATGTGGTCATACATGAAGGACTTATCATACGATGAAACACGTATAAGATAATTTACATAATATTAACAAATAGAGTGAAAGAAATTACAAAATTTATTTACAACACCATCAAAATGTTTCTCGACACCCCAACCCCAAAATTACATTCAAGAGAAATTTCGATACACTTATGTCACACGTGAGCCTTTTTGGAGGATCCAGCAGCATTCTTATCGGTATTAATGTCGCTTTTACCTATCATAGCATGTAAGAACAAATAAGATGAGCCAAAGCTTAGTAAGTAGGGTGACACATGTGTTATGCAATGTTTTTTTGTTTACCCCCACTATTCTTATCAATTTGAAATGTTAATCGTACCCTGGATATTAGTAAGTCTCGCTATATTCTCGATGATTTTTGAATAACCTCGGCAATCATTTACCGTCGAATAACCTCACTAATCGATTCATTGTCGAATAACCTTAGCAATCATTTACTGCTGAATAACCTCGGCAATTGTGCACAAAAATGGTTTCATGCTATTACCCATTTCATTCGGTTCGGTTACCAAACCATTTTATCTCATAACTCAATGATGTTTCTCGATTTCCTATCACCCATGAATGCACGTGATGCACATGGTATTATGTTTAACACATTCAATTAATTATGCTATCACCATTTTCTTCTTAGACCGTTTCCGTGTCCGACGCACACTCGGGACTTCACGGGTGTTTCATGTATCATTTAAAGTATTCAAAATGAGAATACAATTTTCGTTCATCGATAGCATTCATTGCATAAATCTACTTCGTACTTATGAGTTTTTCCTTTTTGTGTATCGGGCAAGTCTAGGCTCGGATTTTCGATGTATAATTAGTGTATGAGACCGATTAATCCTAAGGATTTATATGTGACATACTTAAGCTAAATTTTTGCTTAATTTGAGCATTTAATCTTAGTAGTTGAAGTCGACTCATAAAGGGTCTAGGTTTTAATCTCGATTTTTCTTGAATTCTCTTTTTCCATTACCCTATTTATATGTCTTGTAATCATTGATCTCTACTTACGTTCATCTTCACTTCTTGATCTCTACTTACACAAAAGGGATTCAATGTTAATTATTTTCTCTCTTAGGCCAAATGGTCCCAAAATAAGCAAGAAATTGTTTTTCCATTTCTAGGTTGCTTCCTTTTTAATGACTTACCAACTCATATTTAGAAGATTTACCAAAGAGATTTAAACCTTAAGGTCTACCAAGGAACCCAAATTTAGTGATCAAATGTCCAATTTACCTAATGAAGTCCAAAACACTATTTTTCTTTTAGTTAGGTCTGGATGGGTTGTTAAGATGGCCATGGATTGCTTCTTTTGTCTAGTGAATTTATTTTCACCCTAAACTATTAACCCATTCGTAATTGAGTTATCATGATATTCTAGGCCCTTAATTTCCCCAAAAGATCAATTCTTTCCCCATTTTTCCCACTTGGCCGAATGGTTTTAGCCTAGGGAAACTGTAGAAGTGTATTCCTTTTTCTTTCCAAGTTAAGCTTACCAAACCTAGGTTAAGTTCAATCCATTCGGTCCATACCCTTTTTCTTTCTTTTTCCTTTCCAACCCATCCACACATTTAAACCTATCAAATAAGCTTTGCATGACAAAAAAACATATAAATCCATCACAATTTAGCAAGCCCTAACACCAACACAAATAACCATAGTAATTGATAGAAAAATTATTACAAACCCATGAAATAAACATTAAAAAAATAACTTAAGACATTAATCAACCAAAAATGGAACCTACTTACCTTGCTTGAATTTCCTAAAGGTTGGTCGGGCTTTCCCCTTCTTTCTTTTCTTTCTTTTTCTTTTTCTTTTCCTTTCCTCTTCCTCTCTTGTTTATCATTTTTCTCTCCCAATTTTGGTGGCTACAACTGCCTAAAAATTTCTTATCATTTGCACTCTTTCTATATATATATACATGCTTAAAGTCTTGGTCTAAGTAAGTGTACAAATGGTTGGATTTAATTTGGAAGAGTGGAAAGTTAATGGTGAGTCATGAGATAGAGGTGGCGATTTGAGACAAAAATGGGTGAGTTGGCTATTAATTCATTTAATGCATTGCTTAGGTGTCTACTAAGATTTTAGGTTAAATATACACCATAATTAACTTGATTTAAGTAAATAGAAATAGTTTCCTTCATGAAATTTCAGAAATTTCTTCTCTTAAAACTCAAAAATTCCTTGTTCATTCTTTTTCCAAAAATTCCAGCAGCGATGCTTCAAGACTAACCTACACTAAAATAGCCATAACTCTACAAATTATAAAATTTTACAGAAAGCTAGTAGACATATAGATGAAAACATTTTATGTTTTAAGTTTTATCCAAAAATCACTCTAAAATCCTTAAATAAATCACATAAAAATTCGGATAGAATGTAGTCCTCAAGACTACCTGATTTTGATATATATATATATATATATAATTCACACAAAATTTGAGCGAGAATATAGTCCTTAGCACACTGATTTTGATATATATTTTTATTTTTATTTAACGGGGGTTACACAAAATTACTGAATTCATTCTAAAAATGAAAAATCCCTAAATCCTAAAATTTGAAAATCTCTAATTTCAAATTTCTTTGTATTTTTTGATCTTGATGCATATGTTAAAGATGATGGAAGTTTGCAAAGCTCAAGGTTTTGTTTATGGGATTATACCAAAAAAGGGAAAGCTAATGATTGGGGCATCAAATAATCTTTGAAAATGGTAGAACGACAAAGTCGGGTTTGGTCGAAATGGTCCAATTTGTCATAACAAAGTACCAAGTAGATAATTCAATCTCGGCAAAGAATGAGGGTAGTAAATCAATTGGTCTAACCCCACACATCTTGCGGGAGCTTTAAGATACCACCCTTGGTTCGCTCTTGTTTGCACTAATGTAGCATTATGACCCTCCCTAAAGGCGGTTTTCACTAGAGAATAATGTTTCTCCACCATGATGGCTTTCTTGAAGCAAAGAATGGTGACCTCAGTGGGATTATCGAAGGACCAAGGGCTCGCACCTTACAAGAAGCCTCATGACTTGGAGAAGGCACGGAATGTGGGTGTTCTCATAGCAATGATTAAGCATATGTCTCCTCATATTGCCAAGATCCGTAAGCTTGTGAGACAAAAGTGCTACTTAGCTTGCAATTATCAACTAAGAGGAGTCATTGGCTCATGAGATTTATCATAATTCATGCCCACCATTGTCATCATCGGGAAGTGAATCATTAGTGATTAATGATTGCAATGAGTATGGTGTTGATGGAGCTGAAGATGAGCCAAACTTTGATGTTCAAAGTTTAAATTTAAGGCTCCCAAGTATTCTAAAATAGGGATGGAAAGAATATTGAAACTAGACATTTAAGGATTTGTGGATTAATATTTTAAAAATTAAGATTTTGTAGGTAGAGAGAACATGAGAATTAATTTTGATATAATGGAAATAAGACTTTCTAATGGAAAAGAACGAGTTGGGCAATTATAGTGATATGGGGGTAAATGTGGTCTTTTCTAGTTATTTTTAAATATTATATGTTGGTTTAATAATAAAAACCTTTTAATCTTTTTTTTAAAAAAAATTTCAGATGTACTATTAGAGTTGAGACCTATAATGCCACATGTCTATTCATGATTAGTTACCATTAATTTTAATATGGCACGTTGGATAAACATTTAACTCGCAGTCTAAATCAATAAATTTTAAATACTATAGAATTTCAATCAAACTAAAAGTAGAAGGCTTAATTCAAAAAAATTCAAAGAGTATAAAGACTAAATGAGGGGTAAATCTTTTATATATACATATACATATACATATATATGTATGTATACATACGTGTACACACACACACACACACACACACACACACACACACACACAAACACACACACACACATAACTCTCATTTAAAATTCTAAAAATCCATTGTATAAATTATATGAATTTATTTTTTAAAAAGAGAAAATAATCATATTTTAAAATTTTATTTCAAAATCCATACATAGAAAAAAAAATAAATCATATTTTTTAGTCAATAAAATTTTATAAAAAAGAAAAAGAAAAAATAAAAATTAGTTGGATGAGAAATTTTCATAAAAAAACAGTAAATTGAATGAATACATTTTAAATTATATATATATATATATATATATATATATATATATATATATATATATATATATATTATATTATTTGAAATATATTTTCATATGAAAATATGAAAGCATATAATTTTATTTCTAGCTAGATTGTGTGAAAAAAAAATTAAGATCAATCTTCAATAAATTTTTGCACAAAAAATTATATTAAATAAATTACCAAAAAATGAAAATTTATATTAAAAAATACTAAAAAAAGGAAAGAAGAAGAAGAAGAAGATAGGCATGTGCTTTTGGGCACAGAGAACTAGGTCCGCATGCCGACCTAAAAAAACATGAAAGAGTAAGAAAATGGATGACACATTGTTAGCTTTCTATGCTTGTAGACGATGTGCCATTTGATTGCAAATTTTTAGGAACTTGAGTTCATAAAAAAAGTTGTTGGAAAATTTGGATTTTTAGTTTTCAACTTCTTCAATCTAATTTCAACAACATTTTTGTCCCAAAAATATTTTAAAATCACAAAAATAAGGTTAGTAAAGTCATTTAAAATCTCAAAACTCATTTTAATACACATAAAAGATACAAAAATCTAAATTAAATTTAAAAACACACAATATTTGGTGTTCTCAATATATCTCTTTTAGCTATTTCATACTTTGTAATCACTATAAACAAACTCTTCTCTCCAAAACGAATAAATTGATGGTAAGATCAAGAGTCAAAGTAGCCAAAATGAGTCTTATCATGAGTTTCTCTCTCCTCTCTTTTCTTCCTTTATCTCTCTCTCTCTCCTCTCTACATTAAAGAATCAAATCGTGATACAAATGAAGTTCAGAATCGAAAGAAAAATTTCTAAAAAAGGTAAGAACAAAAACGCAACAACATTCACATAAACTTGCACATAAAATGCCTAAAACGAATTAAGTCCACAAGTGTTTTATGAGTAGATGAATGATAAAATTTATAATAACTCACTATTACTATTAAACAATTCTTTTAATGTTCTAGTAGTTCACAATGTTTTGTGAATAGATAAATTTATTGTAACTTAATATCACTATTCACTAACTCTTTTAATGTTATTGGTAATTATCTAATGTGTTTGTACAATATTTATAGTTTAGTAGTGAGGGATTTCTTTTTCTTTAGTCAATTATATATTGTATTCATATATACTCTTTGAGCCAATTATACATTATGTTAATATGTAATGTTAGGCCTTGAAATTATGATAAACAACCAAGTTCGAGAGAAGAAAAGGGTTCAAAATGATGATAATCAACCAAGGACTATAGGAAAATCGAAAAAATGGTGACGGATTTTTTCGTTGCCATGTAGTAAAAATCCATCGCTATTTGTACTTAGCAATGGATTTACAACAATAGACTTTCTATAGCAAAAGTCATCGTCGCTATTTTCTTTGAGATCAAAAATTTTTTTCATCATCGATTAGCGATGAATTATCTTTCACTTATGTGTAGAATTTTTATCACTAAAGCGTATTCAACGGTCATCTCCTTGGTCTCATATTTATGACAAAACCTTCGCTAATTGGATATTTATGTCGCTAAATTTTTCTTGTTAAAGTTCCTTGCAAATCCATCTCTATTAGTAATCGTTGTAGCTTCGTCACTAAAACATGGTAAACAATTATCTCCCCATTCTTTTATTTATTGCAAAATTATTGTTAATGCACTACTTTCATCACTATTTAGTAACGAAAATTCCATCGTTAAATTGTTCTTGCTAAAGTTTTTTGTAGATCCATCGCTAAATAATAGAATTTTTTTTAATATAAATTAATAGCCATTTAATGTTAATGGTAGTAACAACCAACTAAAAATAACACCTTATTAAAATATAACATATATATTTTAAATAAATAATATAAATTGAAAGCAAATAAATATGTAAATGTATTAAGGTGTGAGGAAACATTAAAAAGCTTTTGAAAAAAAAATCCAGTCCTCATCATTTCCTGCATTATCTTTCGATTGTTGTTATTGAGAAGAATGAGACTCTCGAGTTGTGGGAGAGTCGGTAGGAGGGATGCGAGTTGGCTATAGGTTCTATAACAATCCCATCACTATCTATACCGACTCGTATGGTTCTAACTTGATTGGCCTATTGCTAGATGGTAATCTCCATTCCCTTGGTCCTATCTTTATACTGGCTAGAAACCTCCTAATTATTACCATCGGAATACCATAAAGTGGTAGAGGAGAAGTCGGCGATATAATGGGAGTAATGTCGGGACATCTATGATCCAAGGCCATACACTTTTTACTTCTTCTCTCCTTTTATAACATCCAAATATATCTTGAAAATGTCGATATTTGAAGATAATGAATCACCCTTACTGCTACTACGTAGCATTTACTTCTTGCATTGACTACATGTGCTTATGCATAATTAAAATAATTATAATATTAAATTATAAATATACTTTTTACATTATATTGATAGATGTATATTTACAAAAATAAGAAACTTACTATTATTGTCTAGGATCGCCTATTGATGAATGAACCATCTTTCCTCTTATGAGTGCTCAATCAAAGAGATGGACCCCTTGTATACCTAGATAGGCCAGTATTGACACCATTTATCTTCGACATGTGATTCTAAGATGTTTATGAGATCAAGCCTAAACTTAGGTGTGGCCCAATCCCAATGTCATGCTTTCCATACCTACTTGTTTAATATACGTGGGTCTATCATTCTTGTTCTTCGACTTGTTCGGCATATCTTCATCCGCCTTCGTTCCAGATTCTCCCATGAATCCTTAATCGGCACATCAACAATCTGTATCTCATAAAATGTACTACTACATGAACAAAGAAAATAATATTAATACTTTTCGAGGTTAAATTAATACTTTAAATAAAATATAAGTAAATAGTTAATATATTACCCTATAGTTATTAAAGTAGAAGTCTTTCATCTCGATGGAGACAGACTTCTCTGCAGAGCCATCACATCCAACCACTTGCAAAAAAATATGCTTTGAAAATTATGATAATTTTTATGGAGCACTTATTTGATGGAACTAAAGCTGTCTAATAAAATAAATAAATGACAAATAAGTAAATTAATGATTTTAATATAACATATGAAAATATACAATTAATTATCATAAGTAAAACATATTACTTACTACTTATTTACGATCCAAATGGTCTATCTAGAATCGGATCCGGTGGAGCTTTCTAAAGCTGAGGAAACCATTGTAGGGACATTTACGGTTGGGTGCACTATTGATGGGGACATTACTAGTGAGGATTTTGATGTGTCGATAGTAGGAGATGTCGATGTGTTGATGCCACTATCTAGTCTATGGCTCCGGACACTTGCACTAATAGTACCACATCCATGTACACTATTGCAATCGAGTCACGGTCACCGGCATTGTGACCGGATCTATCCAATCCAAGTGGCATAACTTTACAATAACAACTAAAATAGTTTAGCAAATACAACAAATGAATGACAAATTGGCTAAAAATATTATTAATTGTTTTCATAAAAAACCAGCAGAGTCTACCTTATAAATTGGATTTCACTTATTATTGGAAACGTCGCCAACATAAAATTCTATACATCTAAAATGCACTGACAAACAATTAACATATAGTGAACTTTCTTTCATTCATACATTCGGGATGAGTAATAGCAAATGCAGCAAACTCTTCAATTTCATTCACAAAATTATCATTTAAATACCCATCGATATACCTAACATACATCCATGCACGATCGGAGCTTAGTATTTTGTTTTTGCATTTCTAAGGCAACACACATTTATTTAATTAATAATTTTTCTAAACATCTAATAAAATTTTGGTAGAATCTTCCTTGTAAAATGCACCTTTCTCAATTAACATATACTCCAAATGAACACACAAATAATTCAATTAAATCAACCAATAATTAATTTGTGCACATCTAGACCGACACTTACCTCGGATACCCCATCAAAATTAATTCTCAAACTTATCTTTCTAGCTCTATCGTAGAATATCAAACCAATCTTATTTCTCCTCAATTCTCGGGAGTTTCCAACCCCTCGAGTTCAATAAGTTATGGCATATTTCGGTATGCTTCAATAATTATATTCACTAAAATTAAATTAACTCAAATTTAAACTTAATTAAATTTAACTAACAATTAATTAACAATTTCCAATATATATATATATAATTAAAAAAAAATTAATCAAATTAATTAATTA